AAACAATACGAAAAGAAAATGTTATTAATTAAAGAATTTATTTAAAAAATTCTTATTACATACATGCACGCATATACGTAGATATTCTTTAAAAAAAAATAAAAACAAACAAATTGTTGACAAGTTTGAAAAAGAAAAATTCTTTTTTTAATTGGAAAAAAAACTTATACCAATTAAAAAGAATATTGATATAGATGGCGTTAATTAAATAAGAAATGAGAATTATATTATTAGGAAAAAATTTTTTAAAGACAAAAATAAAATCTATTATTTTGTTAAATATTATTTTTCAACTAAAAGTTTTGTGTTCATATTTTAATGGACAAATTTAATTATAATTCACTACTATCCTCTATCAATGAGAATGTTGTCGTCACCATTTGAAAAATAGTTATAGATGCAAGAAAAGTTGATTGGTTAAAATTTTTGCAATCGTAGTTGATGTAACTTCATCATATATCTGATGCAAAAGGAATATTCCAATGTCATCACTATATTCTATATATATTCGAATTTTTATCAATTTTTAGATAAATTTAAAATGGCCTCTGGTGATTCGAGCGATTCTAGTAAAAAACCACACGAACAGCAACAGGTACTTCCGATAAGAATGTGTTTCTGAAGTGAAAACGGGACGAGTAGTGAAAGATATTTATCGGCTGACGGTTTCTCTTATCAAAAGAAGTCAACCCAGATAACATACGTTATCATTACTAATAAAATTAATTTTGTATGTTTTGTTTAATTAGAATGTAGGTTCCACAACACATGAAGAAGATTTTGCTCAAGGTAATTATGGCATCTTGCCATTGATTCAATCAAAGGAAAAAATTGATCGTCAATTAATTCCTGTACATGATATAAATGAAAAATTAGCTAAACAAACAATTTGGGTTCGCGGTCGTCTTCATACAAGTCGTGGTAAAGGCAAACAATGCTTTCTTGTTATTCGTCATCAATCAGCAACGATTCAAGCTGTTGTTTGTGTCAATGAAAATGTTAGTAAACCAATGGTTAAATTTGCTACTACGTAAGATCATTATCATTAAAAAAAATAATATTAAAAATGAATCCTTTTCTTTTTCAAATTAGCGTTACAAAAGAAAGTGTTATTGATGTTGAAGGTGAAGTTACTTTAGCACCAACACCGATTGAATCATGCACACAAAAGGATGTTGAATTACAAGTTAAAAAGGTACATTTCCTCAAGGTTTTTTGTTTAAAGGTCATTTTATATCTTGATATTTGATAAGATGTTTGTTGTCAGTCCAGCTGAACCACGTTTACCATTATTAATTGAAGATGCTATGCGACCAGATGATCCAACTAGTGAGGGTCTTCAAGCACCTCATGCTAATCAAGATACACGACTTGATAATCGTGTAATTGATTTGTAAGTTTAATTTATTGATTTGAAAAACGAAACGATCTAACAAATATTTTTTAGACGTACACCAGCTAATCAAGCTATTTATCGTGTAGAAGCAGGTGTTTGCAAATTATTTCGTGATACACTTGATGCTAAAGGTTTTGTTGAAATTCATACGCCAAAAATTATTTCAGGTATATTTCTGAATTATGAGAGAACCTTTTCAACTGACCTTTTTCAGTTTCAATGATTTTGTACTCACAGATGATACATAGTGCCCCAATAAAAACTCTAAAAGAATTTGGATTCCTATTCAGATTTGATTGAGTTGTCAAGTGTTTATTATGTTTATTTTCTAGAAGTCCCATGTTTTTGTAAAATACGTATTTTTGGAATATAGATCTTCAACTTTGTGCTTATAGAGAACTTAAACAGACTAAGCTTCTTCAAAAAAATGCATATTGTATACACTATCTATGTAAAAAGGGTCTATATTTTGACAGTTTCATATATTCAAGAGGCTGTGTTCGAAACTTGTGAATTTTTTTATTGAAGCTAGTCTAGGTGATTTCTCTATAGGCACAACGGTTTCAGATGAAAATCCGAGTTTTACGAAAATTTGGAATCTCTAGAAAAAAAATTCAATAGTTTGGTTAGATCCAGATCTTTCTAGGGCTTTGATTAGGATACTATGTTCTATCTATAGGGAAAAAAAAATCATTGAAATCGAAAGCGAAAAGCTGAAAAGGTTCGCTCGTTAGTTTTATAGATAAAATTAATTTTTTTTTCTTTGTTCATTTTTAGCGGCATCCGAAGGTGGTGCTAATGTATTTCAAGTAACCTATTTTAAATCAAATGCATATTTGGCACAATCACCTCAATTCTATAAACAAATGGCTATTGCTGCTGATTTTGGCAAGGTTTATACTATTGGAGCAGGTTGGAGTTTTTATTTTTTATATTATACAGATTTGTTTACTTTGATTTTTATAGTCTTTCGTGCTGAAGATTCAAATACACATCGGCACTTAACTGAATTTGTTGGTCTCGATCTTGAAATGGCATTTAGTTATCATTATCATGAAGTTGTTAATACTATTGGTGATCTATTTACACAAATTTTCAAAGGTCTTGCTGAACGGTTAGTTGAATTTAACTTTTCAACTTGTGTAAAATTTATGATTCTTGATTTGATTTAGATTCGCCACAGAAATTGCTATTATTAATAAACAATTTCCTTGTGAGCCATTTGAATTTGTTGAACCCGCGTAAGTTTCAATGAATTGATAAGAAGCTTTTTCTCTAAGATAAGCTTTTTGTAGGTTACGCCTTGAATATAAGGAAGGTTTGGCATTACTTGCTGAAGCTGGTGTTCACATGGGCTCTGAAGAGGATTTATCAACAGAAAATGAACGTATATTAGGTCGCATTGTTAAGGCTAAAGTAAATATACAATAGCAATTTCTTTTATTATGTTTGTAAATGTAATTTTTATTTTTCATAGTATCATACAGATTTCTATATACTTGATAAGTATCCATTGGCTGTACGACCATTTTATACAATGCCTGATCCAGATAATCCTGTAAGTATCCTATATTTATTATTTTTTTCTGTAATTCGATCATGTGTAATCTTAGAAATATTCAAACAGTTATGATATGTTCATGCGTGGTGAAGAAATTCTTTCCGGCGCTCAACGTGTCCATGGTAACTTCTATATTGATGTCAAATGAAAATAGCTTGCGTAACCTTTATGTGTGTTTGCTTTAGATGCACAATTATTACTTGAACGTGTAAAACATCATAAAATCAATATCGATCAAATAAAATCTTATATTGATGCATTTCGTTATGGTTGTCCACCACATGCTGGTGGTGGCATTGGTTTAGAACGTGTCCTTATGCTTTATTTAGGTTTGGGCAATGTTCGAAAAACATCCATGTTTCCACGCGATCCAAAACGTATTACACCTTAAAAGACCATAATCAGTTTCGTTGTTTTTTGTTTTTACCATTTCTTTGATTTTGTTTGTCTCATAGTCACCTTGAGACAAGACGAAAAAAACAGCGATTAATCATATTGTTAAACGACATAAAATGTTTTTAAAACAAAGAACGTATTCACGAAAACGATCTCTTTTCAGATAAACATGACACATACATGCAGACAATAATGGGAATGAATATTTCAATAATCTTTCATTAACTAAAGACAAACACGTATGAAAACTAAGCATAATAAATCTTCTCATTAAACGAGAAAAGAATCATTTATATGATAATGACTATTCTTTTTTGTTTAATTTATCTAGTTGAATGATTGATGTTTACTCGTTATCAGTTTAATAATCAGTAAAAAAGATGTTTTCTAGTATATATCAAATGAAATAATATAGTTTAATATCATTATATGTTCTTTTGCTAAAGAAAAATAGACATTAATTTATATTTGCGATGAATGCATGAGTAAATACCATAAATCTTTTGTTGATTATTATTTGTCCAATGTTGTTAGATGTATGAGGACATAAAAGAATTATCTATAGGTAGGCAACAGCTCGCTCGATCTCTCTTAAAAGGTCATTCTATCGTTATTTGCTTAATGTCGCCGTTCGTTTCTTGCCTTCTCATTTGCTTAAAGGAGAGAAATCGTTAAAGTACAGACGTGTACATACGTTGTTAAATGAGATGTTTGTCTTTTCTTCTCTTTTTACCTCGTCATCTACTAAATCTGTTCAACAGTGTACAATTTTCTATATTATACATATATATATATAATCAAAATGCTTCTTTTTCTGGCCGATCCACTTCGGAGACAACGTCGCACTCTACTGATTTCAATATATACTTCTTACATATACTATTGACGTCGATTGAAGCTAATAAAATAAATCAGTCAGCTATTTTTTTTTTGTATTTTGATTTTTTTTTCTTTTCTATTCTTTCAATAGAAGCTCGATCGGTGAAGTATTTAATTTCACACATGAATACTCTTTTCGTACAGCATTTTGCATTTGCATTATTCTCTTTATTAATGTTTTTCTTTTTTAATGTACACCTGATCATCGAAAGGTGAGCGTACGTGATTTCTTCCAATACCTTTTTCTTCCTTTTTTTTTTCTCCCTGAGGAAATGTTTTTCTAATAGTTTAATTTATTTTTAGACGGTCGAGAACAAAACATACATAAATTACTCATACATGTATGTGCATGATTAGTTCTTTTTTCTTCCATTTTGAATTGTTTGCCTATTACAACCACGACTGTCTCCCGATTGAGTATTCACTTTTTTACTTTTGACTACGTTTAACAACGGCGGACGAACTCGAGAATGAGAGTAGGACGAGAAGAAGATGAATTGTAGTCGTAATAAAAAAAAGAAAAAGAAGAAAAGAAAAAGGTCTCTGTTCTCTTTTTATGATTTTTTTCTTTGCTTTATGTTTTGTCGTTAACGATGCGTCACTCACGCACCTACAAGATATTATTTTGAAGAGTACAAATACACAACTATTGAGACAAAATAATAGAAATAAGAAGCCGTATTTTGTTCTTTTCATATTATTTCAGATTACTGATTTTGTGTCCTTCATGTGGTAGAAATTTAAAACTAAGAAAAGAAACGAATAATCATGTCGAAAATGTTATTACAACCGAATTATTGCAGTTGTACTGGTAAAAACGGATAAATCATATATTAATGAAAAAAATATCTATCATATTTTTTGTCTTTACTTTTCAATAGTACATCAAGCTCGAAATTTACCAGAAAAAGGCAAACATGGTGGTAAGACATTTAATTTTTATACTTCAAAAAAAATTTCCATGATTTTTAAAAATTTTTTTCTATAATAGGAGTTGATGCTTTTTGTACAATATCTATGGGAAAAGAAAAATTTGTTACTGCTGTACGAGAAAAAACTCGTTCACCTGACTGGCAAGAACAATGTGATATGTAAGAAAATGCTAAGATAAACAAATATTTAAATTCGAACAAAATTTTTTTTTTTGTAGGCCAATTGTTGATGACGCAACAATTAAACTGACTGTTTATCATAATAATAAAAATGCTTTATCTAAAGGTGATTTTATTGGTCGTACATATGTTTCATTACGTGATTTACAAGATTATGATCAAATTCATCGACGGTAAAATTTTTGTATTAAATTTATTATATTATTTTTTTAATTTGATGCCTTCTTTTTTTTTCTTCAATAGTTGGTATAAACTTACAAATAAAGATGGTAAAGCTGATAAAGATCGAGGAGAAATCGATGTATCATTACAATTTTATTCGAAAAATAATACAACTGGTAGTGTATTAGATTTAGCAACGAAAAAAAAACATCTCTCATTGAAAGATATTAAACAATCGTTAGGTAAGATGGTATACATTTGTTTATATAAATAAAATATTTCATTGATCAAGGGGTCTCTATTCAATCTATATAAGAATAAAATAATAACGAAGAAAAACTTATGTCATGAGAATTCAACTTCGTATTAACCTTGAATTTATTCTCTTAGGATAGGTGTTAAGTAAAAATTAATTTTTTCTGTGTTTTTTTCATAGCTTCTATCGGTTAATTTAATAATGATTTCTGAGATACGCATCATTGAGAAATGCATGGGCCTTTTTCTTCGGTATGTCGGCAATAAAAAGGTTTTTTTTTAAGAACTAACAAGAAAAATGATAGCAAGAAAAGCTTCTGTCGATTAATGGTTTTACAATATGATAATCGCTATGAAACAGCTTTACTCTCCTAGGCTGATTGCAAGAATTGACACAGGTCACTTTAGTATCAAAGAATCTTTTTTTTCCAATTAAAATTGACTCTGTATGCATTGATTGATTGGTTATTTTCGTAGGAAGTTATATTAATAACCAATGTATACTTTGAGATCAATTTGCATTTCTTCCTTTCCTTTTCATAATCAAAACTTGATCTTAAAAAATATCTTTTTAACAATATAAAATTTTTTGTCATAGGTGGTAAATTAAAAACAGCCTCAAAGCATCGAAACAAAGACAATTATGGTGGTGATAATCAGGTACATCATTTTTTAAATCTCCTTTCTTAAGGAAAAATAAATAAATGAGTTGTATTTTATAATCTTCTATTGTTCGTATTAAATAAAATGAACTGATTATTTTTCAGTTAGCTGAACAGAGTCGTCGCCTAGGTGGCGGTGATGATAGTACATATAATGTACGCGATTTTCTTGATGATTCAGCATCGGAGGTGAGCGAGATCATTTTAGATGGTGTCGGCAACACATATGTTCAATAACTTAGCTTTTTGTTTAATCTTCTTCTTCTCCTTTTCTTTTGTATTAATGCACATCAATTAATCAACTAATTATTCACAGCTTTATTCTCTCTCTCTAGCTTTCTAACTATTCTTTGTAGTCACAACAGCTTGATAAACATGATTGGGATACTTCTTTTATTCTAGAAGAAGACGAAGAGGTTTGCATTAATCTTACGGCTTCTTTTTCCTTTTTAAAATGATGTTGATTTTTTTAACATTTTTTAATGCATTGAAAACCCCATAACAAAATGAATGTTTGTATTTTTATTTTAGTCGACATCTATGGCTGGCTCACATATGTCACTTAACAGTATGTCATATCCTAATAATGCTGAATCTCAGTCTAAAAAGGTATGTGTGTAGAGTTACCTCATTAATTCATTATTAGGAGATTTTTCTGTAGTCAATGTCCCTAAATAGACGAGAGGCTGATGTAAGTCAGTATTTATTTTGTCCCTTGCATGAATATGTGTCAATTTGTTTTTTTTTCTGTTTTCATTTAATTGAATGAGTTGCATGCACAGTTTTCCAAGTTTCATTCTATTCTATTCTATTCTATTCTATCTTATTTTATTTTCCCAATATATTAAGAGTTATAGAGACTGTATATCCTATATGTATGTATGTGTGGGTTGGCTTTATATTTCTTTTTTTCTTTGAGAAAATATTGAGTTCTTCTTGCTTTCTAACTGATGGTAATAAGCAGAAATGAAAAATATCTTTTTAACAGATGCCTCGTGCTCCAAGTAATGGACTTGGATCAACATTAGGTACAGGAACACCACATTCATCACGTCGTTCAGTAACGTCAGATTATGATACATCATCAATACTTGATTCAGCTTCAATGTATGGTGGAGATGAACCATCTACGCCATCTCCTCCTGTTCGTTCTCAAGTACAACAACAACAACAATATCGTGAAGTTTATGTTGGTGATGATTTACCCCCACGAAGTAATTCAACTCGTAAAAAATCTAAAGAACCATCACCATCAACTACATTACCAACAATAATGAAAACGAAAAATCAAAATAATTCTCCACCACCGTTGTCAACAGATCATAGTCGAAGTTTTTCTGTTACAGGTGATGATATCGAAGCAGCATTTGATGCTATTAATGATTATAAAACATCTATGAATGAATCATCATTAAATAAACCCAAAGAATATGACGTTCCATCATCTGATTCATTATTTGGTTTATCAACAATAAAAGAAGCTACTGATACAGATGATATTGTTCTTGGTAAAAACTCATTACGACGTCAAAAGGATGAAGAAATCGATGACATTGATTTTGATAATTGTTTTAATAAATATAAACAACAACAACAGCAGCAACAGCAACAACAACAACAACAACAACAAAATGAAAAAAAACCAAGTGAGGAAAAAAAAAGTAAAAAACCCGCTCCATCAACACCTATTGTTCAACAATCACAAAAAAATGAAGAACCAAAATCTGGTCATCATTCTAAAGAACACACACGTACAGCACCTACTCATACTGATGATATACATACTTCATCAGTTTCAATCCCAACACCTAAAATCAATATAACTACAACGCCTACTGCTACTGTTTTAGCAACAAAACAGAAAGAAACTACTTCAAATGATTTCGATGATTCAAACGATTCTATTGATGAAGATGTTGATGAATTATTGGGTAAATTAGAGGTAAGTATTTATCTGTCTTTAATACACGCACACATACATACACATACATATACACATGTTTATTTATTACTAAAATCGCTATTTCTTCTTCTTCTTCTTGCAAACTGTTTATTAAGTGTTTTTTATTCTCTCAGTATTAGAATGTTTTGTTCGTTTGTGCACATTACTGCATGTAAAATTGTACGCAAACATGCATAGAATGCTTGTCTTGTTTTTATTGCTATATGTATATATATGTGTGTATGTGTGTGCATTGTCCCAACTGAATTTATAGATGTAAAAGATACAAAAACAACTGATTTCGTTTAGCGAATGTCCAGTATACGTTCTTCGGTGAAACGAAAAATTCAACCAAAAGACGATATAATGCAACAATCATTTTCTGAGGTAAAAATAAGCATTATTTTATTTACTTTCTTCTGTAAGTGAAATCCTTTTTCGAATTATTTCGAATTTCTTTGTCCCAACAAAAATTCAACTTTTTGAGAACAATTGTCTATATTTCCAGCAATTGTCCTCGGAAAATCAACATCGTCCGATTAATTTGAAGTATTCAACACTTCAAACGGATAAAAAAATTCAAAGTCGAGTTTTATCATTTGATGATAACGATGATATAGCAACTCCAAGTATCGATATTGATACTAAGAATTTTGTAAGGCTATATGCATGAAAAAAAAGAATTTCATCAGACAGTAACTATATATATACATATACGTACAACTTTTTTTGTTCCCTTTTATCGTATATCGATATGCATGTTATTGCGGTGCGTTCTTTTATTATTTATTTTTATTTACCGCATGTTATTGTTACTATTGTTTAATATTTGGTTCTTTTGTGTTTAGGATCTTGTTTTTCATTTTTAAAAGAAGTATAATTTAGCTTTCTTTTTATTTAGCTTGAACAACCATCTAATAATAAAGTTTTGGGTGTTCACTCTCAAAATCAATCATTATCATCGAGCAATCAAACGAATAGAAATGGTCCTGCAACATTACCTGATATTGTCGGTGAACAACCAGGGAAAAGTAAAACAAACATAAAATATTTATTTATGCATTTAAAGCTTTTATTTTTGAACATTTTCGTCAAGGTTCATCTCAATATAAACCATCATCATCAACTATTCAAAAATCAAACGATAATGGTCTTTGTGTACTTGGTTATCAAAATGTGAAAAGTGTACCTGTTCATCCAAACATTCGTCAAGAACTTAATTATCTTGATCGTGAAGTATGATAATTTATTCATTAATCAATATACAAACAATTGTTTTTTGTTTTTTTCTTCTATACTCTAGGAACTTCTTCATATTATTGCATATCAATCAGATTTACTAAAAAAACGAGACACACGTTTAAAAGATCTTGAAAATTATACGGATGGTTTACTTGTTAAAATACTTGAACAATGTCCAACTATACTTCAAGTAGGCACTTCTTCATCGACATCATCATATCGAAAATGATCATATTATTACGCTTTCACTAATTCTTTTCTATTGTCGCTCACAATTCACATACAATAAAAGCTGCTATTATTGCTGTTGTATATACATATATATTCACGCGCTTCTTAATGCTTTTCTTTTTCACTATGTGGCTTGTTCGCTCTTTGACGATGATGGTCAAAATCCTATCTCGTTCTAGAACGGAGCACTCAAATACAACAGCAAATGAAAATAATAAACATCATAACAGACGAATATTGATGTGTGCATGCAAGCGTCTATATACTTGTTGCTAATCAGGGAGCAGTCGTATGGTTCTATTTGAAATTTTATGTTCTTTTTATCTTCTATTCTTTAAATAATTCTTTTGTTATTACCTGTGAAAAAAAATAAGAGATCTGCTGCTCTACTCTGATCTGCCGGTGTATTCTTCCTTTGTTTTTCGAATACTAAATTGTGCCTTTCTTTTCTGTATATAATTCTATCGTTATTAAATTAATATCCTTCTATTCTATTTTTTTTTTCATATATATATAGCCTATTATTATATGAAAATTTCTATTCACTTCTTCTACAGTGTCTATGAATAATTATTATTTAAGTTTTTTTCCTAGTTCTTCACTCGTGTCTTGTCTTTTTCGTCGTTGAAATTGTAGTTCTTACTGCATATCTATGCATATACATCACAAGAAAATAAATTTTCAGTGTGACAACTAAAAAGATTTTCGATTAAGTGTTGATGATTGTGAATCAGGTATTGATTTGGAATTACTATATAACAGTTTAAAAATTTAGACAGACAAAGCTTGGATGTTTATATACGATCGAAAGAATAATGTAAAAACACATTCAGAACTAAGAATCTTAGACTCTGAACTTATATTATATCTCACATAATTCAACATCTCTCCATAGGGTCCTGTCAGATACATCAAGGATGTAGTAAAATCGTACTGATCTTCCATGAGAAAGTCAATTACAAGGAAGATTATGAATAACAAAACTGGTAATGTACCACACTAAAAATAATCCGATGCGGCGCCTTTATGATCGTGCTCATGTGATGTTATAACAATTACCCATTACGTTTTTTCTATTGTTTAATGTGCTATCGATAGCTATCATTGCTGAGCCAGACCTACATTACAAAAGTACCGTGTATCTGTTTTTGATTTATTAGCTAATGTTGTATTTAGAACAAATCCAAATAAAAAGCCAATTTTTATTCTAATATCAGAACTAACGAAAATATTCTCCAATCAATTATATCTTCGTGGATAATCTATCACATTGTTTGGTAGAGGCACATTAGAAAAAAGAAACGCAAGAATCGAAGATCACAATAATAAAAAAAAGGGTTACAACTCACGTAAGATATACCCTTGAAAAAAATAAAATCCTTCAATACTGTCGAAAGAAAAATGGCATGCATAATGGTAAAAATAATCTATAAGTAAGGAGAAATGTTTGAAATGAATCTCGACAAAAAAAAATTATACGATAAAAGACGGTTTTCTGGGAGTAAAATGAGTGCAGTTGATTGCTTTGCATTCATAGGCATCTATCTTTGTTACAAGTCAAAGATGGCATCAATAAATATGGCGCCAGTCAGAGATGGAACCGATACCGGTAATCGGCCGTTCCGGTCCTGTCCGGTACCGGTCTGGACTTTGGATCGACCGGTCTACCGGTTTAAACCGATCTGACCGGTCTAAACCGGCTTAAACCAGTTTGTCCGGTCGAAACCGCCTTAAACCGGTCTGTATTTTTCACTTTCCCGCTCTATGATGGCAATCATATGAAAAAACAACTGGTACCAAGACTAGTTCCACTGATCACACAGGAATTTATTTTAAAAAAAATTTTCAAAATATCCATCAGTGAGACTATTGTTATCAACAGGAAAACATTATGCCAATATGCGTGAAAGTACGAAGGTAGCCCTCAAGAGAGTCCACTACGAAACAAGGCTTCATTTCAAGCGTTAGCCTGTTGTCTATAGATCGATATTTTGTCGGCAGATAGGTTTTTCTTTTATAAACTGATGTATCATCAGCATCCTGTTTAGTACCGGTAGGCTAGTTTTGTCCAGTAGACCAGTCAGATCAACTTTTTTCGATAAATCGGTTTCGGCCGACGAACCGGTCTAGACCGGTTCCATCTCTGGCTCAAATCTACACTAGTTAGTTTTTATCTCATCTTTGATTCTGGAGGAAATACTTAGTTTTTGGAAAAATTTATATATAAGTGTTTATTCTTTTCAATTGTATATCTATTTAGCCTATTAGGATAAAACTCATCAGAATGTGTTTAATGTCTATGATGAGTCATCATAAAAATTCGCTAGATCAGTTTTATGAGGACCAGATAAAAAAAACACACAATTGCTAAAGAAAAACAAATCAGCCTTCTTCCCAAATATATGAAAAAAGAAGCTGAATCTATATGCACTCGTGGAATATAAACACTTATACATAAATATTTTCAGCAAATATTGCCTCCGAGGTCAAAGGTGGGAGAATAACTAACCCGAACATATTGTAGAGTAGAACCTATTCTATTGTTTGTATGATGTGCTTAATTTAAATCATTCGTTTTTTTAAATGTTTCGGAATAGTTATTTATCATTTACCATTTTTTCATTGTGTATTACATACGATCAGATGGTCATCATCAGGATATCTGAGATTTTGTAAATTCCGTATAGATTCTACTGCTGTTTTTCATACTCATTCTGAACGCATTAACAGATTTTTGATCCTAATATATACTTGGGCCCTGAAAATTTCATTTCGAGAAAGGCACATTTTTTTATGCATAATTATTAAAAATAGAGAGCACATATTGAGATTGTTGCACCCATATTTTTCTGAAAATGGAGTCGCACATTGAATAATTGATTGCCAGAATGATTGGCACAACAAAATCTACAAGTTCTGAAAGTTTCAGGAAATATTCAAACAGGAACCAGTTACTAATCAGATCCCATGGATATATTTATGAAAAACTAAGTGAAAATTTGTCATATAGAATAGTTTTGAGATTCTTTCTTTTGAAAATCCCAAGTAGGAGAAAAATTAATTAGTACATCTTGTAGAACAACTTCCACTCCATTGAACTACCTAATACCATCATCATTCTGGTTAATGCCAACTTTCTGAGTGTCTTTTTCTCTATAATTTTCTTCTCTACTGCATTACATAGTGAACTAATAGTTTGGATCAAAAGTTTTTAAATTCCTAAGCGGAATCTGATTCTGTAGTGGGCTTTATGATACGAGTGGATAATGAAGAACAACCATCAGTGTTTCGACACAGATACGACTCTTATTTAATGCAAACAGACTTAAAATGTATCTCTAGTATTTGGTCCTTATCTCTTTAAAAATAGAATCTAAATGCAAAAATTTTATTATTAAAATGATCAACGTAAAAAGCGCTATACATGCTGCAAGTTTCAATAGATTTGAACGTGGTCATCGGATCGGCCTGGCGACATTCCATGGATATTCCTATAATCTATTTCTTTAGCTCGCTGATTTATTACTTTCCTCAAAGCTTGTTAGATTTAACGTCTACTCTTATCTCTTCTTTATTTTTCTTTCTTATTTTCTTTGATCAATCCAAACACAGCTATATATATAACAAGCAAAACAAAGGAAAAATTCTAATGAAAAGAACGAAAGGAATAATTCAAGCGCAACAGTACGAGAAGACAAATCACATAACAGGAAGAAAGAGATCAATCAATGTAGTGGAATAATGAATATATACCACTACCTAGCGAAGTTGTAATTTGATTTCGATCTATTTTCGATAGAGTAAAGTTATCACTATATGCGTCTCTTTCACGTTTCTAATACTTGTGCGAGGATAAAAATTTTGAAGAATTTTTTATTTAGCTTATAAATTATCTATATATTATCAAAAAACTCGTCAGCACTTGAGTACGAAAGATGTTTATGACATCACTTATATCCTTATTATATTAATGATCTGTTTCTGATTTACTTGAGTATCGACCTTTCTTAGGTTTATTGAAATTATTGTATTTTCGTTTCGGCGTAGATAGGCATTGGAAGTTATACACATTCTATAATCACAAAAATGGGGCAAAAATAATAACGTAGGACTGAATGTATTAACAGTCAACATTACTGGAAGAAAAAGTAAGTCTACAATGATATAACAGAAATTTAACAAAGCTCTTTAATCACCTCCCAAACGAATAAACCATGCTGGCTGAATAGAACCGATCGAAATATAACGGTCTGTCTATCCTTTATATTTATGCTAAAATACGTTTATATTTATGATGGCAGTGGGGAAATATTTTTGTTTCTCACTATATCTGTTGATGTTGCACATACTAAGTCAATAAATAGGTTATCCGCTGAAGTTGAGAATATTTCATTTCATTTTTCTTCTCTTTCTACTGTGCAGTTGATATCGTACATTTTGTATTAGTCGATGTGTTATCGAGTCATGTGATTTACTACGTTCTTGGCAACGTATTCTAACAGAGATTTACAACATACTAAAGATAATGTATTCCTATTAGAGAAAAAAACAAAAATAAAAATAAAAATTTTATGATGGAGATATTGAGGTAAAAAAAAAGTGTTTTTATGGGTTTTTAATTGTCCTATATCAGTTGAAATTGCGATTTAAGGTATCATGAGTTACCATCTCTGTAGAATAATACACTATATCGAGTGCTATGGTTCTGTATAATTTTTATATTTTTACATCGGTATCCTCAGAATATATTTCAAGTTCGTAAAAAACCATTTTGATGATTCGATCATATATATACATGTTGAAAGGTGTATTTTTCATTGGTGTTCTCTTCGGTTATGTTTTGCTCCTCTCCGAATTATTATCTTAGCTTTCTCATTCCTTTTGGCAAACTGTCCATTCAATCATCGATTTCGTATATGATAGTGTCATTTTCCTCTTTCACTCATAATAGTAACTGATCTTATCTTAGCAATTTTTCATTTTTATTCATGCATAGCTTGACGTGTTTTTTGGGAACTTACTGGATAGTTTTTGATATAATCAGTGAAAAACTGATATAGTTAGTAAATTAGTAACAAGAATGAGCGACTGAACATGAGTCAGCCTTTAAACTTTTAATGCTTGCATCGAAATCTTCTACTCTGATATCGACAACGTCGATACATGTGAAGCGATCGAACGTTACCGACGATATTAGTCTTTTGTCTTT